TAGTATTTAAATAGCCATTTTTCCCTTTTATTTTATAAAAAAAATAGTACAATGATTTCTGAAAACAAATTAAAGGTACTAAATTAATAAATAATATATAAATATTAAATTAAAAATACTAGAATCAATTTTATAATTATAAACGCAATTAATTCTTAAAATAGGCATATATTGCAATTATATGTAATTTAGCTTTAAAAAATACTAATAAATTTGTAAAAAATGCGCAAAAAATACCTTAGCTATATTTTGGGATAAATATGAGAATAAAAATAAATTAATCACCAAAATGACAATTTTGGGGATAAGTATTGGGTTTTCCCTTGATAAAATAGGGCAATAAATTGATTAAAAAATCTTTTGAAAATTAAGGAAAAATAAATAAACCCTGGGACATGCTCATATATGCATACATATGCTATCATTAAAGTATTCTGCATATAAAAATACATAGGGAAAAATTGGGTATCAACAATAGCATGTCTACTTCTGCTTGATTAAACCTATATGTATCCTACTTTCAGCCTGTTTACTTCTGTTTTAACTAGACCTATGTGTTTTTTCTTTCAGCAAGTCTGCATGCTTGCTCATATCTAAATTAGACCTATGTCTGTTTATTTCTCCACTCGCATGTTCTTCCTATCTTGGTTTAAATGTTCACCTCTCACAGACTTCTGACCATCATTGCTCCCAATCCCTGCTACCCCTTTGTATTTGACTGTCTTATTGATCCCAGCATGCCATGTCTTTGTTTAGTGTTTGCGCACCTAGTAATAGCTAGTAAACTAAGTTGAAACTTTAAGTGATCTTGTTTCTGTATACTGTTTGATTGCTGGGACCTTTGTTTGAGTTCCAAGAGTTGAATGACTTTGTTTGCTCTTTACTTCCTGAGAATCAGAAACTATTTTCTTAAAACTATCTTCTGTTTTCAACTCCTACTCTTAGAACACCTAGGGTTCTGCCCCTCCAGTGTGAGCATTGCCTAGGAGTCCATGAGACTCCTCTGAACTTTGACACACTGGGGCTGGCTCTCAAAACTTGCTCACAAAAGGGTTGCTTTGAAAAGTTTTCTTGTGTGAGCATTGCCCGGGGTCCCTGAGGCCCTTGGGAACTTTGACACACCAGGATACCATTGGGTGCACTATGAAAATACTGGCATGTTCATACTTGGTTGAAGGCCTGGTATTTCCAGGTTTACTTTTTGGGCCTATCCAGGCTCCCTATAGTTTTAGCAGTTTCACTTCTGTAATTCATTATTTATGTTTGGTTTGTAATAATAATTTCTTGTAAAACAGATATTGGGGATATTAGTAAAACTGGGAGGTTTCTTATATATATTTTGTTGGGAAAGGGTATATACCATGCCTATAGGTTGCCGCGATGTTTGTTTGCTTATGTACATTCAGATACTAGGCCTATAGGGTTTAAAATCAGTCCTGCATTCTAGATACCATGCCTATTGGTTAGTTCGATGTTTGTTTGCCTATGTACATTCAGATACTATGCCTATGATCTTAAAATCAGTCCTGCATTCTAGATACCATGCTTATAGGTTACTGCGATGTTCGTTTAATTAGACACCATGCCTGTAAGTTTATAATCAGTCTTTGCAAACCAACTTTTGCATTTAGATACCATGTCTATAGGGTTTTAAAACCAATTCCTGCATTTAGATACCATGTTTATAAGTTTTAAATCAATTTCTACACCTAGACAGCATGTGCCTATAGGACCTAATGAACCAAACTGCCTGCTCAAAATTGTCTACTGGTTTATTGCGGTTCAGATTAACGATTAGATATCATGTTTATAGGACACCTCTGATCCACGCCTAGGCAAGCCTGTAGGACGACTAAAATCATGAAATCATAAAACTGTGCTTTTTTTGTGAACTGCCCAGATTCAGCTAGTCCTAAAATTAGTAGGCAACTAATTAAGTACCTTCTGCCTTGCTTTAATAATACACTGCATATGTTTCTGCTTTGTGCTCACCTAGATATCCTGCTATATGACTTTTAAAGTATCTGAAATACTGTTGTTTGAGACGTGCCCAGATTCAGTTAGTCCTAAGGGCAACTGATTAAGTACCTTCTTCCTCACTTTAATAAAACACTGCATATGTTTCTGCTTTGTGCTCACCTAGATATCCTGCTATAGGACTTTTAAAGTGTCTGAAATACTGTTGTTTGAGACGTGCAATTGCCTGCTTAATTGAGGAAGTAAATGTGAGCCTTTAACTGTTCCCTTTATCTGACAGTCCTATGTGTTTTGTTTGTCACTTAGATTTTTCTCCTTTATGCACTATAGGAATGTCTAGATCCACCTTAATTAGAAGTCCTAAACACCTCCAGGACCATAAGTAAGGGACGGGTAATGCACACATAGAGTACGTTTAATTAGAATAGCTTATATAACCACTAAGGGGAGGGTAATCGGGTAGTAAAGGATATGATGACCTGTGCGCTAATGCTCTGTGTAGCACCCCAACTTGGGGACGATTACCAAGCACTGCACAGAAGTGATCCTATAGGCTAAAAAACCTAGGACCTCTTTTACCCCTTGTTTTTAAACAAGATGTCTGTTTGTCTGGATTACTTTTTTTTCTTAAGACTAGTTCACCTAATTCGAGTTTGGCCGGGACCCACCGTTGTGGACCTCGAGGGATGCCTGACACCTTTCCCTCAAGGTTATTTCGAGCCCTTACCCAATCTCTAGTAATGCAAATTGGTTTTATGAGTTATTTGCTTTAGGTGCCCTAACGCACCTTAAATCTGTTAGGTGGGGACTCTTCTAATTCCATACCCAATTCCCAAAAGGAAATGAGTTGTTCCCAAGAAATGTCAAAACCCGGACTCCGCGAGGAAAAAGGGGGCGCGACATGGTCCACAGAGCACTTGCATCCCTTCTACTCCTCCAAGCCCCCTAGGCATCAACTTAACCCCTAACTCCTACGTTTTGGCTTCCGTCAAGGTTTCCCACTTGACCCCAGGTTGTCTATACACTGCCCTCTTCCTCCTTTTCCTCGTGATCTCAAGGTCCATGACCAGGAGCCTATAAAGGGTCATGAGGTTCTCACTCGAGATGACCTTGCAATCCGTGGAAAGAGCTATATCGTACTTCCTGCAGAGAAGATAACCTATCTGAGTCACGGCCACCAAACTCTGGAAGGTGACCAAGTGGTCCGCCTTTGTCACGACCCAATTTCCCCTCTGTTGGGTTTCGTGACGGTACCTAGTCTTAAGGACTAGGTAAGCCTAATATTTACAGAAGAACAACAATAATAAATAACATTTTAAAATTTTTCTGGAATGAATCCTTTATACAATGAGCATATTCCCAAAACCCGGTAGTACAAGTCATAAGCTCTACATAGTTAGCTACTACTTCTATATAAACTGTTTGGAAAAGAGTGAAAATAGTTGAATACAAGTAAGAAGGTGACTCCGAAGCCTGCGAACGCAGCAACAGGTCTACCTTGAGTCTCCTCAGCAATGATCCGCACAGATACTAACGATAGACACCTGGATCTGTACAACAAAAATGTGCAGAAGAGTAGCATGAGCACACCACAGCGGTGCCCAGTAAGTATCAAGACTAACCTCGGTGAAGTAGTGATGAGGAACAGTCAAGACACCTACCGGTCTAATAAACTGTACAAATATAAGCATAGGAACAACGGAACATGATGTATACAGATAAAGACTACACACTATGGCTAACAATACAACAATCACAGTAAGGGAAGAAAAACAACAAGTAACAGCGGAAATACCATAATAATGACATAGAAGACCGAGCGAAATCACAAAACCAAAACCTATATCACAAATACAGTAAAGGTAAGCAATAACTCAGAACCTACGAAAGTGTTCACATCAAGTCTTAGCCAACAGACTCCACGAAATATCAAACTTCCGACAACTTACAGCTCACGGGTCCCAATACCTGAACCCTAACACTTGGCATCCTGTTCCCCCATCAAAACTCATGGTCACGCTGATAACTCACTTACTAACTAGAGCTACTCTCACATATATGACAAGTAGACGAGGGTGTACATCTATACTCAGCAATATCAGGAGAACTTCATATCCAATGGGAGTGTTCAACTACGTCTATGCTTGTGCAAGTGCTTTAACATAGTTCCTACCAGCTAATAAGCATAAGGAAAAGAACGGACGACAGGTAAGATGTTTTCTCACAACTTCCACGAGATACAACTCATACAGGTAAGCGTACCACAACACAATATCAAATAGCAAGAATGCCCCCAGGCCATCACAAATCATCTCAGTTAATCCTGACATAGCCCACCTTGTCTCGCCACGTGTGCAAATAATAATATAATAAGTGCCTGCCTTGTTTCACCACATGTGCATCATAATGTTCCCACCTTGTCTCGCCACATGCACAAACCACATATAAGCATATATATACACATATCCCGCCTTGTCACGCCGCATGTGCAATATGTCAATAGTAGCAATAGCACGGCAAAACCTCGTGCAACCCCATAACAATAACTATGTAGACATGTGATTTTTGACCCTCCCTAAGATTTTTTATATTTTAGCATGTAAATATTTAGTTTAGGCCTAATATAGTTATTTCAACTAATTTTGACCCTTTTACTTTATTTCGTCACAAAAATAAAAATTACAAAAAGATACTTTATTTTATGTACCTTTCACAAAGCTGAAAAAAAATATACAAAAATAGTATCTTATTTTATTTTAATATCATATTTGAAAATACAACAAAAAATAGGTTTGTTTTAACGGTTAGTCTTATTTTAATAGTCATTATACTTAAGTAAGATTAATTAGTAAACGAGGTCGTATTTTTAGTCTCGTTCACCGAGAAAGAATAAACTTGGGCTCAAACAACCCATTTTTAGGCCTAATTTTCGGACCTAGCCCATAATAACCCAAGCCCAATACCCCTAAAACCCTAGACTTTAACTATAAAAAAAGACCTAGACCTACACTCCAACCTAGACCCTAGACATACAATCAGCCGTTTTCTAAAAAGGGACAAAAAATCCTTTCTTCTCCAACCTAAATCAAAAAGGAAAATAGCAGTCATTCCCATTAAGAGAACAATCGGCCATTACCCAAAATTCCCAAAAGAGAGAACACCTTAGTCAGCCGTAGAACACACACAGGGGAGACCCCTGAACTCTACTCCATATTTACAAAATCAAAGAAAACCAAAAAGAAACCTAGAAGAAGCTTCAGCAAAAGACCTATAACCTCTAACCTTCAAAAATCATCTGCTCTTGAATTTCAGCCGTCTTCTTGTATTGTATTGTGGCTGAGGATGTTTACATTCATCTATTGTTGTTAACCGTTCGTGGGGGTTCGCGGTTCCGGTGCCGGGTCCGGTGCTTTTGTTGGGTTGCGATTTTCCTCTTCATTTTGTACATTGCTCGAGCTTGATGAATCAGTTCTTTTTTGGAAGAAAAATCCGCGAAGAAATTCAATCTGTATTGGACAATCGACAGGGTTCTAATTTCAGAATTATAGCGTCAATTAAGGTAAGTTAATAGATTTTTCTCTGTTTTTTTTAGAAGTGGTTTTCATATGCAGTAGGAAAATATTTGGATTTTCCTTTTCTTTTCTCTTGCCTTCGTATTATCTAAAATGAAAAGAGAGGCATCAGGTTTGAATTCTATGACTGGACTTGGGGATGGAACAATCAAAGAATTGTGTTGTTTGGTTCATTGAATATTATTGGGATGTGATAATATTTGGGATGATTTATATTTGAACTATTTGGATTGAATCTGAAATGGACTTATTAAATGGTAAGCATTTGACGTTCTTTGACCATTTGAATTCCTTGGCCGAAAGATGGCACCTTTGTTTGCTTTTCAACCATTTCTTTCGTTTTTACTCTACCATTTTCAAGTTCTTGATGTAAAATTTTCAAATGTTTATGACATTAGTTCATTTAAATAACAATTTTCCGACCTCTATTGTCGCCCCTTTTAATTTTTCTTTACTGTGTACATGCTCTCTATCTTCGAATAGTCTTCCTTAGTTATTGAATATTTATTTTTCAAGACCACCAGAATTGGCTTTGATTTGTCGGTTCAAATTGTAAGCATTTGACGTTCTTCGGAGACCATTTGAATTCCTTGGCTGGAAAAGGTGTGGGTTTGTTGTCATTTATTTATTTGCGGGAACTGTTCTGCTTCCAACATTTTCTAGACTTGGTAGGACGATAATTAGGTCGTAGTTTGCTTCAGACGCGATTAACCATCGTGATTATGGGTACGGTTTCCGTGGCATAGTCATGATACCTAATTCCCAAATTCGGGGTGCATTTCATGTAACCGATCATAACAACTTTGAACAACTAATAAAATAAACATGTCGCGAATCACGGATGCATTCCATGTAGCGTGGTTTGCCGCGTGTTCCAAAACGGCAAGTGTACGACAATCGTAACTTGTTCAAGAAATAATTTCATAAATCCTAAAAAATATTTAAATAATTAAATAAAGGCGGTTATAAAGTTTAAAAATACACAATAGGTTTAAAACATGTAGTAAATCAGATATTTAGGCCAATTATTAATAGTTTAAGCGACCGTGCTCGAACCACGGAACCCGAGAATGCCTACTACCTTCTCCCGGGTTAACAGAATTCCTTACTTAGACTTTCTGATTTCGCAGACTTTTAAATAAAGTCGATTTTCCTCGATTTGGGATTTTTTTAAAATAAATCGGTGACTTGGGACACCAAATACATTATTCCAAGTGGCGACTCTAAAATTAAATAAAATAATCCCATTTCGAATAATGTCACTTAAATTGGAAAAACTCCCTTATATCCCCCTATGGTGGAATAAGGAGGTGTGACAAACTACACGGCAGAAACCTCGTGCATCACAATATCAACAACCGTACGGCAGAAACCTCGTGCACCACCACAACAAGTACCACAACAACAATGAAAATATAGACAAGAACACGACAAGTAAATCAACTCGAGAACTTTCGATCACACGGAGACGTTAAACTAGCTCACAAGGAATAACCACAATAGAGAATACTAAGCGTAATAAGAACAGCTCAACAAGGGAGAAAATAATGTGAAGCAACGATCCCACAATATGTAATTCAACAACAAAGAAGCTAACACGAATCAAATAATTCCAAATAAGGAAATGTCAACTAAATATAGGATACCTAAACTTCTTTTAAGGTTGGGCAAATTACGAAGAATATACAATAATTTCAATTAAGGATGAGCAGCGGGAAGATAATCATAATCTCAATTAAGACCAAATAATTACAGGAGAGATAATAATGGTTTCCAATAAAGACAAGCAGTTATGAAAGATAGCATGACAGTAGAAGAGGTAAAAATCTTCAATTAAGCAAAATAAGAGTCAAATAGGCAATAAGAATGAATCATAAAGCAATTTATTCCAATTAAAAGAGGTGAAACTAGTAAATGGAAGCTCAATCATATCAAGAACAACATCATACTCAGTGAATACAAGGACCTAAGAACTCTAAAAGGCCAAATTTCCACAAATAAGTGCGAACACGCACTCGTTACCTCGCGTACACAGACTACAATCAACATAGAAGACTCAAATCCTAAGGGGAAGTCCCCCACACGAGGTTAGGCAAAATACTTACCTCAATCCGGCCAATTCAATACTCAATTAATCTTTTCCTTTACCAATTCATCAACGCTCGGCTCAATCTAGCCAAAAATAACTTGAATACATCAAACAATGCAAGAGAAAACAATTTCAATTAACAAAACTATGATTCTTATACAATTTGCAAAAGTCAACAGAAGTCAACTCCCGGGCCCGCACCTCAGAACCTGACAAAATTTACAAAAACCGAATATCCATTCTAATACGAGTTCAACCATATGAAAATTATCTAATTCCGACACCATTTGATCCCTCAAATCATCATTTTACATTTATGAAAGATTTCACAATTTTTTCCCAAATTTTCCTTTAGATTCTCATGAATTTGATGTTAAGTCTAAGATATAATCACAATATATAGTTGAAAATTGATTAGAGACACTTACCCAATGATTTGGTATGAAAATCTTCTCTCTAAATCGCCCACTCTCGGAGTTATGGTTCAAAGAATATGAAAAATGAGCAAAAACTCGAGTTACACAGCTGAAAATAAGCTGCAGATGTCGCATTTGCGATCCAGGATTCGTAATTGCGAACCCTCGCAAAAGCGAAGAAAGCCTTCGCAATTGCGAACAAGGAAGGGCTGGAAAAGGTCGCATTTGCGACAAGAAGTTCGCAATTGCGAACTGGGCATCGCAATTGCGATGGATACGTTCGCAATTGCGACCATACCAGAAGCAACAATTTTTTCCAACACAAAAATTAGCATAACTTCCTCATACGATGTCCAAATTTGATGATTATTTTTGTTATGGCTCCGTAATTAAGATACGGATATAATGGTTCAATAAAAACTGAATTTGGTGCTCATTTGCTTAATGTGGTACCCTTTATTCCCAAAGAAACGACGTTGAAATATCAAATAAGAGCGCAATACTACCCGAAACACACCCGAGGTCCCTGGGACCCCGCCTAAACACACAAACAAGTCACATAACCTAACACGGACTCGCTCGAGGTCTCAAATCACATCAAACAACACCGAAACGATGAATCACATGATGAATGAACTTCTAAATCCTCCAACTTCGCAAACTTGTGCCGAAACCGATCAAATCAACCTGGAATGACGCCAAATTTTGCAGACAAGTCCAAAATGACATAACGGAGCTGCTCCAACTCTCGGAATCGAATTCCGACCTCGATACCACAAAAGTCAACTATGGGTCAAACTTTTCCATTTTTCAAACTTCAACTTTTTCAACTTTCACCGAAACGCCACAAATTATCCTACGGACCTCCAAATCTTAATTCGGACACACGCCTAAGTCCAAAATCACCATACGAAGCTGTTAAGATCACCCAAAACCCATTTCGGGACTGTTTACTCAAAAGTCCAATTCCAGTCAAATTCTCGCCGTTTAAGCTTCCGAAACTAAATTTCTCCTCCCAAATTCGACTCTGAATAATCCATTAACTAAGTTCAACCATGCACGCAAGTCGATATCCATATTATATTATGAAGCTGTTCAAGACCTTACGTTGTCGAACGGAGCTTAAATTCTCAAAACGACTGGTCGGGTCGTTACATCCTCCCCCTCTTAAAACCCACGTTCGTCCTCGAACGTGCCAAGATTCGCCTCGAAGTCCTCAAGTTGCTGAATGCACACTTCACATACACCCACGGGTGATCCCACGTCACCCCAATCCACATAAACCTGACGACATCATCTCAACTGAAATTTAGCCTTTCTAACAATACCAATAAGCCTTAGAGCTAGAATTCTCACCTCCCATCCATTTCCAAAGACCCGATTCTAAATCCATACCTAGTATCAGCCTCAACCAGCTACATCAATTCATGTCAACGCCCATCTAATACATCCTTACAACATGACACATCGCACATACGCCCACAGTAACATTGTTGATCAGAATATCCGCCCGAAATCAAATCTGACACCGGCCATAAGCCTCATATTCACTAGGAACCTCGTTTCAATCCTCCACAACACTGGCGACGATACAATAACCACGAAATCCCCATAACTAAACACCTGAATCACCAAATCATAGCTAATACCAACAGGCACACACGCAACAAGCTAAAACTCAAGAAGCACAGAACGAAAATGACTGAATATGGAAAGGGAAACACATAAGGGAACTATCAAACAAGCCCGACAAGCACAAATTTTTCTATCAATACTAATCTACGAAGCAATCTAACAAGAAAGAATTAAAGCATATAAAAGAATCACAAGGATCACATACTGATATAACTCCCACAGCGGTACACAACCCGGTCTCAACACATCAGATCACATGAAATCACGAGGGTCTCGCCCTCAACTCTGAATCACAAGTAAGATATACATCAAACCAATTGGAGCCTCTCACTGAATCAGTTCTGCCACAATTTACAATAAGTGCTGGCTTCCACACTGATGGAGCACAAAAATCACGGCTCATAGCCAAAAATACTCATAAATCACATCAAGCCTATCGAAAAGGACAACATAAATTTACTACTAGTCTCATAACTCTCAACAATGAATTTAATGGACGATAGACACGTGCTATCACTCATAAAACCTCCCAACAAGGTAACACAGAAACGAAGTGCTAATCATGAAACGCGCCCATAAGTGGAGCAACAAATAGGGAAAATCGCCCCGATAAGCAGAATCGTAATGAGCTACGGATGACGCTCATCTATAACAAATCAAAATCATACCTGAAATGACATCATCTGGTGTAGCGGCCTTAAGCCTACTATATGAAACACATTAATGGGTCGGGCCTCTCCCTCTTAGGCGCCCTCTATTCGCTTGAAAACCTCATTGTGGCACATCGGCCCAAAGTCTGGGACAATCTCTCACCATATGGCTAATATCTCCACACTCGAAGCAACCT